TAATGAATGAATGAATCAGCAAAATAATTCATTTTTTATACCGTATTGTGTACACTTTGATCCAAGCTTTGGTCTGTTCGAAATGAGTTCGAATTCAGAACATGGCCAAAGACTGTCTTGTTAGCCTCCAAATGGAGAGGATACCTTGAAATTTCATGAGGTATTGGCTCCTTGCCTTGCATTCAAGTTTTATACTACTTTGTTTCAATAAGGTGGAACTTCTAAATTTAAATTTCGAATCTTCGTCTTCATAAGATTGTAGCCAGACACACATTTGCTTCATGCACAGGAAAGATGATGACAATTTGAATTGTCGAAATATGTCTCAACCTCGGTCTCAACCCTCTTGAAGCAGTATTAGCTGCATTTACTATTGAAATATTTGTGGATGAGGCGACTACAAGGTCTTTTCTTTCTTGATCATTCCACTACAATTTGAGTATGGACTACTTCAGAAGATCAAATTCTATTATATTTAACTCTGCCAGTCACATCAGCCATCACTCAAATAAATCAATCTGAGAAGCACAATGACCCAGCTGCCACTGCATGGAAACATGAAGAGACTGAGAGTCTGGACTCAAATCGAGACTCAGATCATAATATCTAAACTTTTATTTCATCTATCAAGAAAAGAAGGGATCTAACTGTCTAGTTCTGGTTGTTCAGCCATAAATACGAAAATGAAAGATGAAAATGAGAGAGTTAAATTTGTATTTGCATTTTTCCTAGCATTTTTCATACTACCTACCTATGTTTGAAAAGTAGTCGTTTGAAATTGAACTCCTTCTTGTACTTGTATGAAATCATCGATTCGTTTATATTTCAAAAAATAATTATTTGTGCTATCGGCTGGCAGCAGCTACTGTAAAATTCACTGTCATTTCTTGAATGCATTGTCTTTTGTCAATGTCAATAATTATACTCAGTTCAAGAACTTGTTTTTGCTCTCATTCTCAATAATTAAGTATTCAATAGTTTTCGATCTTATGGAAATACACTCGGAAATACAATGACTTCAACAGTGGCGCCAATTTCATTCACCCTTTATAGCCAACCTCACAAGTCAAAATACCTAACCGCTGAAGATATGGTCAATTCAATACTGACTCCATTTTGGATCAACAATATTGAACATTTCTTAATCAAATTAGAATTTTCTCATTCTAAATCAAGGTATGTATCTCATTATCAATTGGATCAAATCTATCCTCAGATAATTTGTGACAGCTACTTCTTCTTCCTCTGGTGACAATATTAGGTATATTCGAAGTTATATATTTCAGTAGAGGAAGTATTGAATCGTATAATGTGTATAGAACTCGACAAATCATAACTACTTTCGATTTGAATGAGGTGAGTAACAGTAAGCAGATGTTTCTTCTCTTCTCAATAAGCTCTCGATTCACAGAAGAATCAGAAACACCTATTCATTCTGTTTCGGGTGAATAATTCTATTGAATGTAGTGAAAAAAGCTAAAATCCCAGGTATATTCCTTCATAATGCTTCATTCTATAGATAACCAGTGTAACGTAAAATGGGAGAATATCGGCCACCTAGCTCATCTGTTGAAACATATATTTTGTCGATAACAGTTTAGTCCCTACCGAGGTCCCAACATTCATTTTGTGAATTATTTTCTTGTTGTTGAGCAAAGAGCTCGATAGAAAGTGATCAAAAATGTTGTTTGAAGTGTCGATACATTCTCATTCCATAGCAATCAAGATAGCAATATAGTTATTACAAATTATGGAATTACTCGAAGAATTCCTGTAATAAACATACTTCAACTTATTGAATACGACTGAAGCTGAGGAGTCTCATATTCCTGAACATCAACCAATGAAGGCGAGATATCTCAATGGGATGGATATGTTCAACCGTATTTTACTGTTCATCCAGTCACCTGATTGATAATCATTCAGCATTTTTAGAGGCATTTTTAGTGATTATATATCTATGGCTGAATACTTTTTCACCACATAGGATTTATAAGTAACTTCGATCGACTTGATTTCATCCTCGGTTTGATCACTCAATTCATCAGTTTTGGAATCAATTTTGAAAATGCCCTGACTGTTCATCTGATTTGATGATTCAATGTACATCTCGCTACCAATCATTATAGATGTTTTAGGAACGAGCTTGGGTACATATAAAAGTTCAATGAATATATGAGCTGATTCCAAAATCAATTGAGTACTGTTTAATTAGAAGAGTTTTTAATGTACATGGAATTCAATGAAAAAACCGAGAAAAGAACATATTGTTAAGTTCAAGCCCGGGTTCAAGTCTAGGGTCAATTATTCATTCGAATTAGACTATGCATTATTCATAGAACTCTTCTGAGAACCTTTCCTATTGTCGAGGTGCAGTCGGAACAAAGTGAAATGATTGAAAGAACTTTATACTCTAGGTAATTTTTCAAACATTATTTCGAATAATCAGTTAAACCATATGCTAGAATCTATGATTATCGTAGTCCGAGTATGCAAACTTATAAATTGATGAACTGACATCTATCCGAGTTAATTCAATAGAACTACCCTATATTCTTGAACCAGAGGTAATGATATAATTACGATATAATTATAATTCAAACTGACATATAACTTGATGAGGGTAGGATTATAGTCAAGAGTTGGTATAAGTGTTCTGTTACAATTATGAGATTGAAGATTCAAATCTTGTGTATAAGTCACTGATCAGGATACTTCTGTGTCGCAGTTGAATTGCTGAATGTCTCAGTCAAAATCAATATGATGTTCCGGAAATTTCTCAGTGTCCCACTGAATTATTCAGGAATATATCGAGGTACACACCTAGGTATACACCTAACCCTGAGCCAAACCCCTGACTATATTACTGATATTCATTTCAATTTTATAGGTACTGTCTATCTATAGCCGAAAGTACGATCAAAGGTATGTGGATTCAACGTCTGGTAGCCTTTATGTAGCTAGGATCCTGATTGTTGGTCAGAATTACATCACTCATTTATGATACTGACCGCTACACCTCAGAACACCTTCCTATACTGCAGTGGGTCAGTCTAACCAAGCCTATAACTTGACAGTTAGTCTCATTGCGTTTCCTTTCCAGCGAGCACAAATATCCCTGGGATGTTTGAGAATGGTGGAAAGAGGATTTTTCTCTTCGTCGTAATATACACTTTTCAGAGAGGTCTCCGGAGGATATTGAAAGTATTGTTTTTCTTCTTCTTTCGCATTCCTTTGTCTGTCTACTGAGAGGTATTAGAGAAATAAGAATGATGTTAAGATATGGATGTCACTTCTGGACATAAAATACCCAGCCTTGAGATGTGTATTGCATATGTTCAATATTCATTCAATTTCCAGTTTCATAGTGAATCTCGAAATGTTTCCAATTACTTCACCATTTTACACACAATTGAACTTTATTTATGTCAATTATGGATCTCGACCAACGACATTATATTTTTATCAGAACAGAAGCAATGACATGAAGATGTATTATTCATTCTTATTGAAAATCACCAGACGTGACGTCCATAATTCGTAATACGCCGTAATAATATACCAAACAACACAGAATAGTTGACGCTTACAACCTTCAGAATGTTCGTACATATTCTGATACAATGTTCTCGGAAAGATTACAGAGTATTTTCATCCTGGAGAAAAATATCACCTGAACATTCAATTTGACATATTTTCATCATATTCTGGGAATATACAGAATCGTATGAAAATAAGATACGGATGATATTCTTGTATAAATATTTATAATTTTTCCCTGAGTAACCCTATTAAATATTCTGTAGCCTCAATGCTAATTATCATCCAATAATGAAGTGCATATTGACATCCTTTTATTCATATCATTCATCAATAAGGTTCCTATAGTGCAGTGGACAGGGTGTGACGATTGTAAAAATTCAATCACCCGCATGAAAAGTTCTTCCAATTTTCTTCTTTTTTCTACCAGGAATTGCTCATTTGAAGCGATTAAATGTAGGCAAAATGCATTGGAGAGGTTATTTTGTATCCATGAAGAGGCAATCGGAGAAATAGGGAAAATAAATGTTTGTGACATCCCAAGGATATCTTTATGAACCTTGCCTGCGGTAAACATTGGCTGTTCTATGAAAGTTCTATTCCTGTGTAAACAGGACATCGCAGTGGAGGTTTCATGTCTTGACATCTCGTACTTTCAACATCTTTGGTATATTTTTGTGTTCGCTGGGTTATCTGACGAGGTACATTGAGACGATGGTAGCCTCTAATCATTTCAGACTGACACCAGCTAGCCGTCGAAGAATGAATAATCACAATGCATTACTATAACCATAAGTTGATGTTCGATGCTATAACAATCTGTACTATAACCGAGTAACGAAGGAGATGGTCATGAATTATAACTATCAGGGAATTGCATGAAGAATATAGCTAGGGGGATTAAAACCCTAGTTGACTACAACGTAGTTCACGTTCAGTATCTCTATTCGTTTCATGTTCTCCACTCTAATTGGTTCATTGTCTTGCTCGATATACTATAAATCGAGCTACAAATAGAGTCAGGAAATAACTGTATTGTAAAGACCTCGCGGTAATGACCTCGATAATGACTGATAATTTGTTAACATCACTAGAGGATTCTGAGATTCCACATTTTCACAGTTGATCAATGACTCTGCTGAGCAAATTCTGTTCCACTTGGGTCGAATAAGACTGACCAAGGACCAACATTCCCAAGTTTCAATTTCCGTTACTTGACCACGTGACCCTTTGGCTTCCGTGAAAAGCAACTGTTCTTCGAAATCATGACATAAGATCTATTCACTATTCGAGCATACCCAGACGCAACGAAATTCACCCTCAGACCCAATCAAGCCCTTCCAATCTCCGGGGTCAGACCCTAAAACGACTACATGCACTGCCGGCAACAATGTCGAGGAAATAACGCACACACCACATCAGAACTCACACTATCGATTGCACAAACATGAGAAAATTACCTATTCATGCCGAATCCATTCAAGCCTCTACGGTTAATAGAGGAACAAGTGACATTCAACGATAATCTGTCAAAATCGAGGGAGACCGACAAGCGACTACGCCCGGACCGCAGCGATAGGCAGTTGGCCAAACACTGAAAACAGATGAAGATCGGCGCTGCACCCCCGACTGATCTTCCCCCACCACCGCACGGCGGCGCGGGCTGCCAGGCGAATTCGAAAGCTTTTCAGCACTGTTTGCCGGTCATATCTTCGCTGAAACGAGCTTTCGGGGGAGCTTTCAGCCGCTCCTGCACTCCTGATATGTCGGCGTTACGGAGAATACCTGTTCGGACCGTCTACGATGATCTACGACAGGCAGGGACGAATCGAAAAAACATTATTGGGAGGGGGCAGAAAGTGGATTTTGCCAACTTGTTTTTGAATTTTTCAATGTTTGTTCAGGAGTAAGAAATAATTACACAAATGGGGAAACCATCAATATAATACGTTAAAGTTGAAGGCAATCAAATCGCTAAAAGCGTTTTGAAATCAAAATATTTCATTGGATATTCCAAAATGCCAGATATGAAGGTAGTGACGTGACGTATTGGTCCCGAAGCAGCCTAAGTGTGACAAATTGAAAGTGGAACATCAAACTCAAAGCCATCCATGATAATTTGTTTTTTTTTTGAGTATATCCAATTTTTCCAAAGGGAATATCAAGTTGTATTCCAGAAGGGCTGAACTCAGTATGCCTGATACAACAATTTCTGGTACCATCATTGTCTTACACCGAAACCACTTTATCTATACTCGTTATCACAATCAGCAATACTCTCTCATTGGAAAATCAGGAAAACTCGGTTTCTTGTTTCGTTCGAAAATCTTCTTCACACCAAAACAGCTACTTATGATCTACAAAAGCACAGATACAGCCAGTTCGCAATCTCGAGGTACCCTAGCCGGATACTCATTAATCTTCAACTTGTCTTTGATGGTATCCTCTTTACTCTTCAGTTTTCAATCTATTGTATCGACCTCTCTCGGTCTATTCTTCTTTCCACTTTGTGATGAAACTTATCTCAGGGCTTTGGTTGTGTGGGTCGAACTGATATTCACACTCTGAGAAGACGACAGCATTATTTCCAAAATCATCTACAACCTTAGAAATCACCCAATCATATAAATATATTTTTACATTCGAATTGCAATGAACGATTACCGGTAAAGAAAATATAAAATGAACATGACCTCATAGAGAACGATGGTGAGTAAGAGAAATATCAAATAAAACATACCTTAAAAATGACCAGGCGACCACTTTTCACTATTCGTTAAATATAAACAGGATATAGTTTGAATGGAAAAACCAAAAAGGTTCATATATGCATAAAGTTGCAGTTGACAGGAAGTGTTATGAGTATAACTTGGACAGACTCGTTCGATTTACTCTCCAGAAGCAAAAACCAACGGACCAAAGAAACAACGCGCACAAACCGTTCGTTGTGGCGATCGAATCGGTTTTGAAAACTGGTTATTATTTGCGATATGTTTGGCAAACCTTGGCAAGCCACACTACACCTAACTGCTACATAGGTAGCATAATTCTTTCCTAGATTCAAATGAACAAGAACGCCAATACTGACCTATACTAAACCATGGTTTTGTTACAACTTCTTTCCTAAAGCCCAACCTCACCATGGTGCTGGGAATACAAGCCGCGGCTACCTGACAGATTGCGCATTTTTGGAACATCTTTGCTCTCATCACTCAGATGGAACATCTGGACATCTGAGTGCGGGAATGGGGCAATTTGTGAGCATCTGCTTATGTGGCCGCAGATTGATAACGAGGCTCTGGCAACATAATCCAAGTTGTGGGTATTCGTGACGAGGAATGGCACCTAGGTTATATGGTGTCGATGACGGGACCTCTGGTGAACAGGGTGACATCTCATAGTAAACAGCTTTAGCCCTGTGCAGGAGGCATCACATGGCTGGACCAACACCTTCCACAATTACTCGTAGGAAAAGGAAAACTTTTCGCCTTCTCCATGGACGAGACCAGGGCTCGAAAAAGTAGTCTTCAGGAACCTGAATGAAAAATGTTTTTCAAACAAACCTATGGAACTGTGAGCAGCAGCATTCGAAGTGGTCCCCATATAAGAACAATGGGTCGTATATGGTAGAATCAATAACGGCATAATCGAGTTACAACAGTATAATGGCCAACACGTCAGGCCCAAGTGTAATCGGAGACATCGGTCAGACGAGCCTTGAGAGGAGGTGGAGTATTTAGTGAGTACACCTACATCTAGGGATTTCCACACTACCATGAAGGAAATGATCCTTCGTGGTGTCCATGAAGGATTTTGACGACTTCCGAAAAAAAGGGGTTTAGCACGAAAACATACGCTAATGCTCTCAAATTCCATCCAGAGAAGAGCCATTTGCCATTCGCGTCGACACACTCACCAACTCTTCGAACCCATTAGAACACTGCAGAAATGGCCTTCAATTTTCAATAGATACATCCACAGGTCATCCCTTCGTCGTTAACCTTGAAAAGAGTCGAACAACACTCTTCCAAAACTCGTTCGTCTATAGAACGGTCAACCTTTGGAATTATTCTTTCCCAATGGGAATATTCCCAAATAATAAAAGAGATGCAACATCATACGATTTTTCTATCATTCGCTTCAAGAGATACAAAAAAGATGAACCCAATATGGTACCCATTGGAAAGAATAAATTTGATGATGGTGGCTAGGAGACGAAACGTCAGTTAGCAAATCTGAAAGCACCATCATGTAGTAAGGAAACAATGGCATTGGAAAAGCGCAGTTTATTTTGAAATCCTACAATAAATAAAGCCAGAAAAAATAAAATCAATAATTCAAAATGTCGGTTTTTTCCGGATATCTCCGGACATAATTGGAGTTACAGAACTTCATATACAACATATTGTTTGTTATAGGTGAATGCGCAACTTTGCTTCATTGTAACCATCTTCGTATCGCTCATATAGTTTCCGAGATCTCAATGGTGAGAAAAGAATTTGAAACATCCAGCAGAGCAATGGTCTCTCTCCTCCATTGATCATCCTAGGTAAATTATTAGAAACAGTTTCCCTGAAACTTTCTTAATTGGATAATGAGAAAATATAGAACATTACGAATGAAATATTTAAATAGACAGTTAAAAAAATATATCATATGGGCAGCATATTCTTCAGATGAGCCCAACTTCAAATGATACTGGTAAGATCTGAAAAGTCATTGATGTCTCTTTCTGTTTTCAAATGCATTAGTGACTACAAACGGTATGTTCGCATCTGTCATCGCAAACTATTTTTCCATGAATTTCAGGGTGCTGAAAGAACGCTCATAGAAGCAACAAAGAGACCATCCGTAAATAAAGGCTGTTAACACTGCAATTTTCATCGTATCTTGCATGTATGACACTTATCTTCATACACATTATGTCAAAAACTATTTCTATTCACATAGAAGGGAATATTGGATATCATTTCAGAACACAAACCTGTCAATTGAATTCGTTGCGAAACGTTTGTTTTTTCTGGGAAATTATCCCAAACTCAATTCGCCACCTCGCCAAAGACTAGCCCATGACACAGATTAACAAACCTTATATGGGCCCGTCTCTGATTACAGGATATTGAAAAACGAGTAGTGTTTCATCGTTTTATAAAAAACAGTGGAATGAATGAATGCAAGAGATCTCGATCACGATTCACTGGTGAACATCAACGTTTGTGCATCAATCGTTCGATATAATGGTACCTATTCAAACACACATCTGCCATTAGAAGGCTAAGGCTAGATTTCGAATTCAACTGTCTACTGGTTTCTCATTCCAAAATCAACAAAATTCACTGTAACAGACATAGTATTACCATGTATTACGAATAGTCCTTGTATCAGATTTCTGTTGAAATTACTAGCCACCAGGAACAGTGAGATTTTCTGAACTGAAATTTGGAACAAACTCTCCATCGGTCAACTTCCACTTGTGGTCAGATATACTTTGAATGATTTTGTATGAAAAAAAAAAAATTGTACGTGGATCAATGACAGCATGATTATTTCTGGTGCAACATGGAACTCCTTCGGAAATTTATGTTGGAAGTATAATTGTTCAAATTTCACTAAAAATTATTAATCGAATATAATTGAAAGTATTCTATGTTGGATAATCAATTGGTAATCGACTCTGTAGAGAATAAATCCTTCATGAAGTAATATTTCCGATAATATTCCATTTTTATTCCGTGAATTATGTTGGCAGTGGAGAAAAGTAAACATATACGCATCAATATACAGGGTGATTCAGGTTTCGAGGCACAAACTAAAATGGGAGATAGATCCCATCATTTTAATCAAAAAAGTTTATATAAACATTAGTCCGATCTCGTTCAGTAGCGGAGCTACAGGGGGTCAAAGTTTAATTATTTTTTTCTATTAATTGGAATATCTCGTTTACTTTTCAAGATATCATTTTGAAATTAGGTGTGGTCAATACTACCTAGAAGATCATCATTTCAAGCATTCTAAAGATTTTCAAAATCTACAGGGTGATACGTTTTTGGAGGTAGAGGCATCTTTATCCCCTTCAAAATTTTTCGTAGTACGCCTCTGGCATCTTTCAGTGATCAAATTGTGTGGATCGTTCAATTTAGAGGTTTGTTCAAGCTCCTTAATTTAGGTTCGAAAACATGTTAATTTTGCTTATGTTTCGCTTAAATTGTATTCTTTGACAAAATTCGTTGAAAATGCAACAAAATGTTCTGAGATTGCAATGTTCTTACGCACGTTACTGATCCAGATTGGACTAGTGATTCCAATTTTAGTGAGTACATTTCATTGCATTTTCAACGAATTTTGTCAAAGAATAAAAAATTTAAGAGAAACATAGGCAAAATTAACATGTTTTAGAACGTATATGCTTATTTATCTCAAAAACGGTTCGTTTCTCGAAAAAAATTGAGGAGCAAAAACAGCCTCTAAATTGAACGATCTACACAATTCGATCACTGAAAGATGCCAGAGGTGTACTACGAAAAAGTTCAGAGGGGATACAGAAGCCTCCACTTCCAAAAACGTATTACCTTGTAGATTTT